TGTCCTGTGCAGTCACACTGCTGTCCTGTGCAGTCACACTAATGTTCTGTGCGGTCACCCACAAACTGCTATTCTAGTCTGTACTTATATCTTCCGTTTACTTCCATTTACCTGCATCAAAATGGGGCGTTTATTTTATAAAAATAAAAATTAAAAAAAAAAACTAGACAGAGAGAGGAAAGCTAACAGAGTGAACATTGTACAATGACACGAGAGAACAGTGGCTCTCTTCTCCGGCATCTAGTAGCTCCGAGTGTTTAGTTTCTGTAGTGGCTCCTGCCTTTCAAGGGATACAGGCCACCTTGAGAATGAGACTGAAAACTGGACCCTTGACCTGGAAGGGACCTTTGGGCTTGGAAAGAAACACGGAAGTGATAGTTCTGCCAAAGTCCTGGGAGCCCACGCAGGATCTCTGCCCTTTGTGAAGCTGACTTTTGAGCCCTAGACTGCTTTCAGCCATATAGGAACTAAATACTCAAAAACTCTTTATGTAGACTTAGCAGGCTTCAAACTTAATATAGCTTAGAACATTCTTTCAGGCTTCCTTTATTCTTCTCCCAAAACTTGGCCCATCAGTGTTCATTTCCTCTAACAGACGCCATATATGTGGCCACTCAGGCTAGGAGTCGGACCTTCGGCTGTTCCCTCTCACTCAGCTGTACAACTTTCTGTTATATCAGAAATGCCCTCTAAACCTGATGTGTGTACACACACACACACACCACACACACACACACACACAGGCATCATCCCAGCCCTGCCATCTGTTTGAATGAGCTACCCTGATGTCTGTCTGTCCTGCTTCCTTTCACCTTTTCTAAATCGGTATCTGAACTTTGGCCTCAGTTGCCACACTCTGGGGTTGCAGGCCCCTGCCACCGCGGGTCAGCGTTCACCCTGTTCTTCAGCAGCCCCGGTGTGTCAGCACAGCAGAGTTCAGTCTTAGGCTCGCCATCAGCCGCTTTTCTCCAAACCTCCCTGCCCCTTTCTGCTCCTTCTCCCCACATACTGTTTGCGTTCCTCAAGTCCTGCCTCCTCAGGGAAGCATCTTTAGCAGTCCCCGGTAAGGCTTACTGTTCTTGCCTCAGTGGCTCTACAGTGCTCTGTCTGTGACTTAGTCACAGCTGTCATTACACCATCATCGTGTCCTAAAGGTGCCCCTCCCACAGTCTGAGCTCGGCCCCTGGGAGAGGCCACACACAGGCAGCCTGCTCCTACAACATCTTCCTCGTGCCTAGCATATAGCAGGTGCTCGGAAAATGCTTTTGTACAAAGAAAAAAGTGTGGTCTTCTACCAGTTCATTGTCAGTTGTGGTTTGTCATTCATCCTAAGAAACTTTTCAAAAACTTAACTTTGTATGGAACACTCCACAGAAGGGCATGGGGATCTTATTTGGACATTAAAGTCAAGTAAACAGCCTGTGGTATTTAGTGCAGAGGCCCAAATGACTGTCTTCCTTTGTTTCTAGTACTGGCGTCAAGTGTACTTGATCACCGTGCTTGCAATGATCCTGGCAGTGTTCTTTGCACAGATTCATCCCAATTACCTCACGCAACAGTGGCAGAGGCTCCGCCCTATCATCTTTTGTTCTGTTTCGGGCTATGGAGTGATCCCGACTCTTCACTGGGTCTGGCTCAATGGAGGAATCAGTGCTCCTATTGTCCAGGTAGGCTGAGTGTGGTCAGGAGTTTGTTTTTTTGTCTTTCATTTTCATTTCTTGGGTAACGTGGTATAGCGAGGCCATGTGGGTAGCTCCGAATCCTTTGGGAGCATGTTTTTAGTTGCATGGTGAAACATAGTTTTCACCACTATATAAATAAGCATACCTTTCAAAACCACATTAGACTCTACTCATTTCTGCTGAGTCATTGTATGAAATAACATCAGTCTTTTTCTGTCTTGGTATATGAGAACACACGTCGATTCTAGGGAGGACTCCAAGTTTGCAGTTCTGCCTGCTGCGCTAGTGGTGAAGCATAGACAATGGGCTAGAGAGGTGGAGCAGTCGGTTTCTTTTGCTGGAGGAAGAATTATGGTTGGACATGTGGTGCCAGAGATGTGTAAGGGATATGAATAGAAGTAGACACGGGGTTTGAACTGAGGATAGAGTTGGAGACGGGTGATGCATATCTGACAGCAGCATCACGCTGGTCGCTGGAGCTGGAGGAGTATGTTCAACCCAGCGAGAAGAAGAAATGAACAAGTAGAGGAAGGGCTGTTGATTCCGTGGCTTCGGATCCTGTGGAAATGGGAAATGTGAGGGGAAGAGCTCCAGGAGGGCGTAGGGCTCTGTCTTCCTGAGCACCACAGAACGAGTTTCTGTGTCTTTAGAAATGCTTCTAAAAAGGCTCCAAGTGTGTGCTAGAGAGAGAGCACTTGAAAAGGTTTACTGTGAGTAAATATGCCAAGAGAGCTGGCGCAAGTCTCACTGGTCATGGTGCCGTTTGTCTGGATGCGAATGGAGATTGTCGTCACTTCCAGGAGAGGTGGCTGACCGGGAGAGGAAGGCTGTCAGCAGGCTGGCTTTCACTGTGGCACAGAGGAAGATACCTGCTAAAGCAGCCACGAGAACGGTGGTTTGGGGACAGAGCGAGATAGTGGTGTGGTAAATCAAGGAAGAGCAGTATTCTCTTCCTAAGATCAGGAAGGTAACAAGGCTGGTATGAGTGGGGAAGGACATAACTGTCCTGCTGCATATGAAGACACCATTTTTCTGGTAATTTTGAGCCCCCAAGAATAAGTCAGTAGAATGAGAAGCTGCTACCTATAATTTAATTCTAACTAGAAAAGACTGACTGGCAGCTGACAGAAAATGATTAGTTTTAGAGGTGGTAAATTACAGTCAGCTTATGGTGATAAAAAGAACAAGAACTTTAGAGTTGAATTTAGGAAATTTTGTATATTCCTATATTCACAAGACTTAGGATAGAGAACAGGCATATAAAGACAGTGGTACTTAAAAACATGATTCTAGTAAGAACACTGGTCATTCTAGTTAGGAAGCAAAGGGGAACCTTGGAAGAAGTTCACTCAAAAGCTCTCATCTTTTAAAGTTGGGAAGAGATATCCCTCCTAAAGATGAGATTTCCAGACGGGTAAGCCTAATGAATGGCTGAAGACAGACAAGGTTAGAAATGGTTAAAATGGTCTAGAATGGTTAGAAATCTGAGACTGATAACCCTGAAGAATATAGAGTTGGAGAAGGCCAAGATCATTCTTATCTACTTGAGAAGGGACAGAGAAGCTGTCTCTATGTCTTACATGGACTGTTTGTAACCAGGGGCAGGAGCAGATATGTGTCAGCCTGCTGATTGTCACTAGAGTCGGGCAGACCTTTAGGCCCACGCACCAGCAGTGAGATTCATGTAGCAATGCTCAAGGCATTTCTCTGGGATGTGGGAAGCTGTTCGGTCTTTATCTCTGCTAACTCAGCTCTTGTATCCATGACACTCTGTAACTACTTTGTAGAGGAGTTAGGCAATCACGGGACTGTCACCAGTGTCAAAGCTCAAGTTCCATAAGTAGCGAACTCTGAGGCCACCCCTATGCTCCATTGCTGTGGACCTCTTCCTGTGGGATGAGAACAAGGGACCGTTACTATAGAGACCATCCGCAAGATACCTGAGACTTGGCAGTTTTCAAATCCCACCTCTGAGCCCCAGGAGATCTCAGTAGCACTGGGAAAATCTAAGCAGCTGTACTTTGCTTTCCAGGACTTTGCACCCCGAGTAATTGTGATGTATGTGATTGCTCTTCTTGCTTTCCTCTTCTACATTTCCAAAGTTCCAGAGCGGTACTTTCCAGGTAGGTCCTGTGCATCATGGTTTGCAGCTTTCTCCTGAAAACACATCTCAAGTCAATGCTTCTGAGACTCAGAATTTAGTTTGTTTCTCAGCGTGAACTATGGAATGATTTTTTCTATTCCTAAGCAATATCTATAACTTTTTCACCAGGCATGGTGGTGCACACCTTTAGTCCCAGCACCCAGGAGACAGAGGCAGGTGAATCTCTGTGAATTTGAGGCCAGCCTGGTCTACAGAGTAACTTCCGGCACAGCCAGGGCTATACAGAGAAATCCTGTCTTACAGAACAACAAACAAAATAAAAAAAGAAAGGAAGGAAAGGAGGGGAAGAGAGAGGAAGGGAGTGAGGGAGGGAAGGAAGGAGGAAGGAAGAGAACATAACTTTAAATTTCAAGAGCCTTTCATAGACATTTCCCACCACCTTCACGGTATGGTTTGGGTCCAGGGGCCGGGGTTGACACTATGTACAGTTATGAGCTAGTGACAGTGCTCATCACATTCCGAGGATCAGGTGACTCCTAGGCCCTGTTCTTTTTAGCATGGGGCACTACCATTAGCCATGCTCTCTTTCCATGCCAAGTTGTTCTTAGAGAGTAATTTTCATATGCAGAGATACATAAAGCAAGAAATGCAAGAAGCAAGGGTGCAAGAACAGGAAAAAGATGGGTTTAGAGTAACGTTTCTGTACACTGGGGCTTTATTTGTAGTTTCAGTGGCCTGAAGGAAACCACTCCAGAGTGAAAACACCACAGTCAAAAACTTATAGTATAGTATATTATTATACTTGTTAAATTTTAATCTCTTCTTTTATCTGATTTGGAAGTTAAACATTGCTGTCGGTATCATATAGGGAAAGGTGGTAGGTGTAGGATTGAGTCCTCTCTGCTGTGCTGAGCACCCACCGAGGGCTCTCAGGATGTATCCTCAGAGGGAAATCAGGAACCTGTGTGGCTCACGCAGATTCTGCACAGTAGCTCAGGACAACCAGTCTGGCTTTGAGCTTCCTCACAGACACGGCTAGGGTGACCCTTTCACTGCCCCAAGATACTCAGGAGCCACTCTCAGCGGGAGGAAGACCTCCCTTCTTCAGGCCAACATTGGGGAGCTCTGCTGAGAAACACCCAGGAGACTCTGGGTACGGTGAGCAAACTTCGCCAAAGCAGGTTCTCCTACGCTGCCCTCTGCAGTTGGACTGCCTGAGGTAAAAGCCACAGTAGTTCAACAAGCTGTGCTCCACATAGGAAAGCAAGCTGGAACACTTTCTCTCCCATGGTTCCCATGAGAAGGAGATGGCAGCATCCCCCAGAACAGTAGTCCCGGGTGGGCAGTAAGCACTCAGGGAGGGATGGTCCAGTCTTGGTCATGGAGTAAAGTATGAGCTTTAAATAAAAGAAAGAAAGCATAATTTCATTCAGGCAAGTTTTAGCTTGGATCAGGAGTAACATTTAGGGAACTTACAACAGAGGTCTAAGTTTGGAAGACTGGGTGAACAGTCTAGGCTACAAATCTTTCCCTCCTTCCTGGGTTAAGAATCACTTCCATACTTAGTCAGGGGAGACACATGAGCATGAAGGTATGTGGGTATGCTGAGTCCTGACTTCCCAACATGGTGAGAACTGACATTCGTTGCAGGGAGTCCCTAAGAGAAAGAGTTACCTCCATGATGCATTAGGGATGGCATGGGACCCTTCTTCGCATGCTCTGGAGAGAGAGACAGTCTAGAGGCGGAGTCTGCAAGCATCTGTGTTCTTTGTTCTTCATCGCTGAGCTTTCAGTCTGAATGGAGTGCAGTGAGAACCAGAGGTTAGACATCAGGACATGAGAACAGAACCATAGCCCCATACTGAAAAAACACAATTTGGGTATATGTTTGTATCACTTTAATAATAATTCTTTTTAAGGTTCTAGAGCTAGAGGTATGTATAGCTTGGTGGTAGAGCACTTGCCTAGAATGCACAAGGCTCAGATCCTGAGCACTGCAAAATAAATTTACAAATAATTACATTCATATATAATTCCATTTCTTTATTGCCCACAAGTACAAATACTCTACATTATGTAAGAATGGCCATGTGGCTTCAGCCTTACTGTTTTTGAATCATTTGTTAGGAATTATCTCTTCTAACACCTGGAAAAGATCATATGTTTTACAGCTTTTCTCCAAGGGGAGCTCAGCATGAACTGTGCCTGCATAGCTGTGTGGCTGAGTGCAGGAACACAGAGCAGTGGAGGCAGGGTGCTGGGAACACTGAAGTCTTGGGAAAGGTAGTTTCTAGTGGTCTCTGTACCTTCTCCCACGGATGGGAGAAACATGGGCAGTGTACACTGTGAATAGGGAGTAAGATATTTAGAACTAAAAACAGCTCTAGTTACAGTACACACCTTAACCCTAGCACTAGGGAGGCAGAGTCTGGCAGATCTGTGAGTTCAAGCCTACCCTGATCTACACAGTCCTAGGCCAGTTAGGGCTACGTAGTGAGACAGCTTCTTCAAAAACAAAAACAAAACAAATACATATCACAGTGGACCCATAGATTTACATGTTCATCAGTAGACCATTTATGACAAGATAGCAATATGTACACACACACATATTTTAAATGAATCTGTAGGCTTTATTGGGAATCAAGAGAAAGGCTAAGAGCCTACCTGGAAAGAATCCTGTGTTCTGAATTATGCTTCTTGCTAAGAGGAAGTGAGCTTAGAGTATATACAGAAAATACCACCACAGGACTTTAAGGAACAGCTGACAGTTGTTCTGGTTCTGGTTTTTGTGACTGGGAAACATCAGGAAGCTTCCCCTGTGTTAATGATTAATTAGTCCTTCCCACCTTTGCAGAAGTGCTCCTAACAGGTTCATGTCTAGCCATGCAATGCATCTGCTCTCTCAGTTACATACCTAAATCATGCCCAGATCACTAGTGTCTCTTGCCTTTCATACAGTACTTTCCCCCCATCTACCAAATACGTTGAGACATGGAAAACAAAAGATAAAATTCATGAATTAAAAATTGAACGTTACTTTTTTTCACATTTCGTGTGCATGTGTGCTTGCATGTGTGCACTCTTGGGTGGACAAGGTACATGCAGCAGTCAGAGGACAACTCTTAAGAGTCAGTTCCCCACTGTGGGCTCCGGCTTTGTTTGTGTCCTGTGGCTGGACCTGAGGGGTAGCAGCTCCACCAGGCTTGGGGCAGCTGCCTTTACTCTCTGAGCTATTTCATTGCCCCCACAAGTTACATTTTAAAAATAAAGTTGGGGTCTAAGGCCATACTACTCAAAACACACCTGATCTCCCCGAAAAACCGTTGGTAAGAGCATTTCTGAAGTTCACTTGTATACTTAAAGAGTAAACTTTAAATGAGTTCATCCTCTTAAAGCTGAATTAATGTGCAGTCAGTCTAGCCAGAGGTAGAAGTGTATTTTTCTCTAAATACTAGAATAATACTGTCAGCCTTTCTTTCTGCTCTCTCTTCCAGGACAGCTAAACTACCTCGGATCGAGCCACCAGATCTGGCATATCCTTGCAGTAGTGATGTTATACTGGTGGCACCAGTCAACAGTGTACGTCATGCAGTACAGACATAGCAAGCCTTGCCCTGACTATGTTTCGCACCTGTAATTCAGGTATGGCCACCTGGTGAATCCAGTCATTAAGCAATATACAGCGGGGAATTTTAGACCCCATTATTTCTAAGGTTCTCATTTTTTCCTTCTCTTTGCTTTATAAAAATGGAAAAGCATACTTAGCTCTGTAGTAAGAGCTGTGGTTGACCCTTGCAACTGTGATTTGCTGTTTGCACAGATGGTGAAAATTTAGATGCATTGAGACATGAAACAGCATAGCCGTGGGTATGAAACCACTCTGAAAATGGGGCTCATTCCACAGAAGACCAACTCCATTTTCTTAGGAAGGGCTCATGTCTGTGTGCTTACTTTAATAGGAGACATTTTCATTAAATGACCAAATTTGCCTCTTCAAGGCAAGGGTTGTAGCCTGTGCTACTCCAAGCTGAGCAGTGCTGCTCAGTAATCACAGCTTTCCCATACAGCCTGTGAGAAACTGGCCCCGAGTGTCTCCCCGGCTAGTTCCTTCCTTCCTTCCTTCCTTCCTTCCTTCCTTCCTTCCTTCCTTTCTTCCTTCCTTCCTTCCTTCCTTCCTTCCTCCCTTCCTTCCTCCCTTCCTTCCTCCCTTCCTCCCTTCCTTCTTTCTTTCTTTTTCTTTCCTTCTTCTTTTCTTTTAGTTTGCTAACAAAAATCTTAATTCCTCCTTTGAGACTTTGAGAAAAGTGTCGAGAAAAAAACATTTCTAAAAAGAATATTAGATTGGAAACTAGGGGCACAATTGAGTAACACAGTCTGTTGGCTAGATCATCAGCTACCTAATTTTATTTCAGATATTATTTCATTCCATATTATAACTGGGTTCTTGACAGTGAATTTTGATTCCACTTTTTCCAAAGAACTTTCATCTCTAACTCTAGTCCTAAGAGCCATGCTGATGAGCTCAAAACCGTGTGGGTGCTACTTGGAAGGCCATGAGAGATGAGTGGCCCTGTCTTGACCGTGAAGTGAACCTTAAGCCTTAGAAGTCACGCCCCCGTCTCACATGATAGTGGATTATTCACCGCAGCCCCAGGCCTGCTTACACTAGTGCTAGCATTGCATTGACAACTTACCGTACAGATAAACACCATTCCGAGCTGAAGCATGGGCTTGTTGATAGATCCTACTGCCCTGTCAGAGAGTGTAACTTCTATTTTTTGGACTTTCAAAGTGCATAAATTAAATCATTTATAGTATTCCTAAAACTTCCATTATCCATTGAAACATAAAGTATTACTTACATTTCTTAATAAGTTAACAAACTGGCATATTTAACTTACTAAGTTAAATACTGGCGTATTTTCAGGAAAGTGGAATTAAATAATAAATGATAAAACTTTTCTTGACATTGATGCATATTCCCTAAATGCATTTTCTACATCCAGTATTAGAAAAATTGATATGCCTTGGTTTATGCCTCTGCAGTGTTTCTTTCTAGTGTGGTGGTTTGGGAGTTTAAGTTTCCCATGCTGGTGTGTCAGCAGGAGTGTTCTCCAGGCGGGCTCAGGCAAGGCCGCCATTTTCCTGACCACTGTGCTGGAATGCTCCTCTGAGAGTGGCTGTCGTACCTTAGGTCACAAATTCAGTTCATGTGCTCAACTTTAGATGGTCTGGACATGACGAAAGTAGGCTATGTTTTTCAAATAATAACCTTGGTTGGCATATGTTGTTCTTGAATACACATTTTACCATTTTAGCCAGAATAACTAAGTAGTTTTTAAGTAAAAAAATGAGGAAAGTCCAGCAATTTTAAGCGTGGAGCCATTTTTATTATGAACTCTTCTCAAAAAAAAAAAATCAATTCTTTTAAGTTTAATTTCTTTTTCTTTTTTCAGACAAGGTCCCACTCTGTAGCCCTGGTGGGCCTGGAACTTGCTATGTAGACTAGGCTGGCCTTGTACTCATAGAGATCCACCTGCCTCTCCCTTCCAAGTGCTGGGATTAAAGGCATGTGCCACCATGTCCAGCCCTTTTACTTTCTTCAAATGCCTGGTTTCTTTTTGTACATGCATTCTGTAATAATTGCTATATGTGTAACACATAAAAAGAGCATACTTTGTTTTCCAACAACTATTCTTTGAATAGGTCTGATTGTAGGGATAGTTTTTCTGTGTTCTCTGAAAATGTTCGATATTATAAATAAACTATTGTCCTCATCTTTTATCTCTATAATGTATTTATTATAAAAGAATGAATGACTGTGGATTGCTGTCAACTATAAACACTTAAATATGTCAGCATTTGTTGACCATCTACAGTGTGCATAACACTACTGATAAAAATTTTAATTACTCACATTAAATATTTGACAACTGCTTACAAATCTGAGTTTTGTAATAATGTATATTTATTTTTGTTTTTATCAGTTTACTAAAATAGGTTGAAAATTTTTTAGCTACAGTATATAAAAAGCCAGTCTTACTTTTACCTGTATATAAACTATAAAAGCTAAGACTTTAAAAGTACATTTTTTAACTATCTCTTGCTGTTTTAAATTGTAACAATTTATAGAGATGCAGTCATCTTTGTCTATAAAGCCACTTTCAAACACTAAAGCACCATTCATCTTTTTGGCTTATACTAAGTGCAGTCGGTAGCTGTGTGGCAAAGTGTGCATATGTAAATAAATGGGGTTTACTAAACGTGTGCTGCTTGTCATTCTTTGTGAGACGCTACAGCTTTAAATCACATTTCAGGGTCAAATGATGAGCCAGGGACTGTGAGAGCTATGATCCAGTTTGAAGGTTGTACAACTTTCGGCTTGTCAGGCACCCCTGGAGACATACCCTGCCAAGGGCCATGGCCTGCACCTCTGGATTCCTGCCAGTTGCTGAGGAGGCCTACATCCTCCCCAAAAGCATCGTTTATTCTAACTGCACCCACCAGTGTGAAGCAACTAGGCTGTGAGGGCAGGGCCCAAGGGTCTTTTACACATTGTCAGAGTAACATTTTCACCGAAATGAAAGGCAGGCACTGAGTACCAAGGTCCCTGTGACTTCCCTGGGCTTCTGTGGTGCAGTGAGGATCTGGAACTGAAACTTACCCTTGAAACTTTTCTTCTTGAAAGGAGAGAAATGACAGTAGGGCCCTGATGAGGAGAGTGAAGTCTGTACCCTTGCACAGCTCGTGCGAACAGCCACCAAGGCCCTCCTCCTGCTCTACTAATGAGGGAGGCCTCAAACCGCTGCCCGGCATGCAGGTAACCTCAGCTGTGCCAGCCCCGTGCCTTCTTAACACGCAACAGTTGTAAGGCTCGTGCCTTCAATATGAGCATTAACTGCCACATGTGGTGCCTGAGCCAACCTTTCCGAAACAGTAATTACTCCGAAGAAATAGCTCAGACAGTGCTGCGTGTCCCTCCTTGGAGAGATTTACTGTAACCGACTTTAAACAGGGACTGCTTTGCACTGGTTACGTCTTCAAAACAAAAATCCACTCAAACCAAATAAAATGAGACACTGTCGCCAGGCACCAGTACAGACTCCAGATTGTGGAACACTGCATCTGAGATAACACTGCAACTCTGCTGCCAATCTAATACACAGGCCATCTCTTTAATATGCCAGAGCTGCTTTCGGCTTCTGACAGTCAGGAACTAAAATACTTAGTCAAATATTGTTAATGCTATCAGCCTTTTACAGTTGAAGAAACAAGTTACAAATTAAAAACTACGTCAGACAAGCTGATTCCAAAGGTACACTGCGATCTCATGTTCTGGCCTTACAGCCACCGTGTTGAAGGTGGGGCAGCTGTGCTGTGAAACATTCTTGTTGCGGAAGAACAAGGCCAGGTGCGTTTTCTTCCATCCTAAAGCGTGAGCTCTTTGAGAACAGCACGAGACTGAGACTGAATCCACGTGAGAATGAAAGAACTAAAGAGAAGTTTATAATGAACTTTAATGAGACAAATTAAAAAAAAAAGACTCCAAAGGCATTGATTATAAAGAATAAGCAATCCATTTGGGATTTATTGCATTTAAAGAAGGCAGATTATTAAAACAGTAGGCATGATAAATACAGTAGGAAAATAACTTTAAATCTCAAACAAAATAGTGAACAGAATTCAAGACTAAGCAATGTAAAGGCAATAAGGTAATAAAATTAGTGCCTAACTGGGTACAGGGGAAGCAGCTGAATTCTATTTCTTAAGTTTCCCAGCTACATTTGAGGATTTAAGTCACTTTAGCAAGTATGTTTTATAACAGTTAGAAACACAACTAAAGATATAAATCCACTTTTTAAAGATTAAAGTTATTTGCTTAGTGGTACATAAAAGGCTTCAGAAAATTCAAGTTTAACAAAAAATGGAAGTGTAATCAAAGAAAGTGCACTTAAAGCTGTTTGCCAGCAGTGAAAGGGGCTTCCAGGCTGGAGGCAGAGCTCCGCGCCCAGCGCTTGTCAGCGCCCAGCGCTTGTCTAGCAGGTGCCAGGCCCTGGCTTCAGTTCCCAGCACCACAGAGGAAAAACAAGTGGTGACTACCCCTTCTATTGGACGACTTTTCAGTCACAAGAAAGCACACAGGAATAAAATCAGTTCTCTTCTGAAAGCAGCACTGTGTATCTTAAGATGTAGAAACAAAACCTAAAAGAGACCCAACCCTCTGTATTTTCATCTGCATCTTCCCTTTGGTGGCTTTTGTAGACCCTCTCTAGGAGTGAATGCTCTTTCAAAACAAAACAAAACATGATTGCCATTTTTAAATTCACATTAATTCCCTAATAGAAAGCTGTGATGTGTGTGTGTGTGTGTGTGTGTGTGTGTGTGTCTTTTTATCTTAGTAACTTAGTAACAGAAGTTTTCCAACAGCCATTTGCTGTTGTCACAGTAGACATGTCACCTCCTCACAGTAGAATGTCAACTCACATAACTGGACCTAAACTGATGACTAGCTTTGCTAAAAAGAAAAAGAAAAACTGACAAAATTCACTGCACATTCTACATACACTAAAGAGATGTGGCCAAGCTCTCCCAAGCAGCGCTAGTACAACAGGTGCAAACCGAGATGGCCCAGCAGAGTGGCTGCCCTCAACACCAGCACAGGGGAGCAGGCTCCACCAGCAGATGACAGCAGTAGTCAGTCCCTGCTAAACGGCTGCAAGGGGCACAGATCTGAGATCCAAGTGATTCCTTAACCATGTCCAAGTACACACATCCTGGGAGGAGGGAGAAACTCAGTTCTTAATATTCGAGTCAGTAACATTTTCTCCCAGATTAAATAGACCTTTTTCTCCCAACTACACACCAAGCAACTTCTTTGTTTCGGCATATACATTCTTCATAAACAATGTTCTTTGTGATAGCAACGTTTGACTGAAGTAATGGAAGGTAAGCAAATGGTCCACTCTTTAAAAGACAATTCAGAGTTAAGCTGGTAAAGCTTCTAAGAAACAGCTTTGGCCTCGGATCCTTGAGGTCTCTAATGTGACTTCCCTTTGATGTTCAAGTTTAACAGGTTTAGGACTACTTTGATGCTTAGAAGCACAGGGCACGCCCAAATGACATTCCCTAAGCCAGGACTGGGCTAGCCCATAACAGAGCCAGTCTTTCAGTGAGTGCTGTGTGCTGGATCCTGTGCTTGGTAGCTTAACTCTCATTAGGGAATTAAGTACCTAAGGCTCAGCTGTACAGAGACTGAAGAGTTAAGTGGAAGTCTCTACATCTTAAGAAAATGCCTCTAACATCAACATAAAGGAACTGCTCCACTGGACCTGTCCAATGAGCTGGTCTCAAAAGAGGAATGTCACCTGGCTGGGCTATAGGAGGCAATGTAAACATTTTAAGCTGTGGCAGAGTTGTTTCCTAAGAATTCATCCAGCATAAGCCAAAGGGGCTATGTCAGTGAGTCAGGTCAAATTATTCAGTGCATTGAAAGGCAAGTAAAGCTCCCACCTCGGGAGACCACACCAGCTCACTGTTACCTTCTAGTTGAGCTCTGCTGTAGACACCAACCTAGTGTGCGGCTCATGAGTTTACCGTGAATGAACGCCTCACTTTCACAAGAGAGCATCGCTGAGTCTGCTGTGTGGTTTAAAGGATCTACTAGCATTTGCATTAGCAAGATTAATCAACCTGAGAACTAGAAAAAGGTGCAAACATAGTTTCTGCCTTTGGCACAAGGACAGTAAGTGGTGCAGACCAGTTCTCGGTGGTGACCTAATGCTGGGCTGCTGCCCATCCACTTTTCACCTGACTGAGCTCACAGACGAGAAGCAAGAAAAATGACCGTGGCTTATGTATATATTCTGCTTCTTTCCAAGTTGCAAACTGTGAGAGTAGGCAAATAATTTATCCCATCAGGGCACTAAAATTAAGAGGTTTTAATAAGATTGTTCATAAAACATACTAATTGGGGGCAGAGATAGTTAACTTAAAACATAGCAAGCAAGGAGAGTAATGGTGATAAAGTTCCCACCCCTTTCTGTAAATAGCTATTAATCTAGAAATGCGTGATGCTAATCCGGCAAAGACAACTATAACTGAAGACAGAGACACAAGAGCAGATAGTGTGTTCACATTAACTGATGTATAATTGCTACCATTAAACACGACGTCTACAAAATGTCAAGTTTCTAATTATGACTCGTGGTATTTTTTAAAAGGCAATTTGGTAGCTTGGTTCTTTTCACCAATGATGCAACCAGCTAGCAGAATTAAAGTCCCTAGTCCCACGGTCTAATTCTTACATCCACTGAGAGCCCGGCTGTCAGCGCAGCGGACTGGCGGCAGGAGGCACGCGCCCCGTCCCTGTAAGGCTCGTCAGGGAAGAAACGGCTCATGACTCAGGAGTGCTGGATAAGGGTGCTGATGTAACAAAGTACATTAGTAAATGCAACATAATTTTACATTGTAAACATCTTTAAAATTTAAAGTTTCAGCTAGCTTTTTCCTGAAATTAAATTTCTATAGAACCTCTCTCCTCCCACTTTTTATCAATATGCTTCATTAGGGACATGATAAAGATTTTGGCAAAAATCCATTCTAAAACATGTATTTCTAAAGTACAAATGTTGCTTTCTTTTTGACGTATCATTATTTTACATTTTTCAAATGTCAGATACTTCTCTTTACATTTTTGTTCTAGGTTTCTATTAAGCATTCCATATTTTAAAAATTTATTTTCTGACAGATTAAGAACTACATATATATTATCATGTAC